AACTCTTTATTTAAATGTTATATAAACTCTTTATCCCGAAATCCTTTTTTAACTCTTTATTTTAATGTTATATAAACTGTAAAAGTAACAGAGACGTTATATATGTGTAATGATGGATCATCATCATCAACAATGGTCATGTCCATACGTTTTCAAGATCAAGAAATTACATTTCTTCTTTGTTCGCAAGGAGGAGAGCGAGACGCATGACATCACGAGCGTGGCTCTTGAGGCGAGATCGAGCTTGAAATGCCCTAAGGGCAGAGAAGCAGTGGAAGAGATGAGGATTGTTGCATAAAGTAGACAACTACAAAATTATACTTAATGAACATAAGCGAGTGGATATAATAAAAACTTATCACTTAAAACAAAACAAAATTATCTTGTGTATGATATACTTTTCTTTATATTTTGATCAATTGCATTACATTTCAGTTTTAAAAATATATAATTCAAGTTTATACTATTTTAACCACTTATGTAAAAGGGAAGGTCGTTTAGCAATCTCGTCATATCCGTGAAAACCATCATTCTCTGCATTTCATGTACATTTTCTCAAGAAATCTTTTGTCACTTTGTAAATATAAAATACGCCTTTGTTTACTTGCCTTTGACTAAATCCACAAAAATAAAGTGTTGAATTAGGATAACTCATGCGAAATTTCCACCCATATGGTTCATCTAGTAAGAATCTGTAAACCAAAATCATCATTGCTAGATCTATAATGTACTCCAAGAAGATATTCATTACCATTTTGAATTGTGATCATTACGCGAGGACTTATTATCTCTATGATCAGTTTTCCATACAACTCAAAGATATCACAACTACAGAGATCGTGAACACTGAGCCACAAATATATATATGAGATTTCTTTTAGATGAATTTATCATGAATTGAAAAAAAAAATGATCAATGACTCAGAATGAGATTATATACGTTTGATTTTTCAGAGGATTGATTCTTTTTTAAACAAAAGAATTAAAGCAATGGAAACGGAGGTGAAGAACATAGTTATGATTGACCATAGAGAACCTTAGATGAATATAGCGAGTGGAACAAAGAAAACAAATTTTTACCAAAACCAAATTTTTGTTTGGTACCAGATCGAAAAATATAAAATATGCAAACGAGAAGATGAAATAGTATTTCAATGCTTTTGTCCAAACCCTAATTCAACGTCACCGATTCACCGTCGGCCCAAACAATACAATCTCAAAGTGAAATATTTCTGCCCAAAGCTAAACCGCGAAAAAGTTTTCATATCTCGCAGACGGATTTAGTTCTTTTATTCAGCTATATATAAAAAGAAAACACCAAGAGAGCATTACTAACAACAACAAAAGGGAGATTATTTACAAGGTCATTGAATTCGTAGTGATTGTCACATTGATTGTGTTGTTGTTAGTGTTTGGCACGTACGTACGGTAGAATCTAGGACCGTATTTTCTCCGTGTGTTTCACAGTTTATTGTTTCTCACTGTCCATCATTCCAATAAACAAAAAAGACCAATAAAAACTAAAACTTTAGTCTTTGAAAATCGGCGATGTCAAAAATATGAAATGCCTCAAAAAAGTTTTAAGCTCATAACAAAAGAATTACTTCGCTAATCTAAATGAACGTGATGTTATCTGGCTCAGAAAATCGGATTATGAATTTCGGAAATGACCTTTCAGCGACAACAAATGGAGAAGACACACACATATATATATGAAAATCCCAAAATAATTCTATCGAATAATTCCAATTGTTGGAAGATTTTTTATAAAGGAATCGAAACAACGCAAAAGACTCTCGCTAGGGAAATCGAGAGGCTTACGCGACGAGTGTAGAGAATTTAGACAGAGAGCTTGGAGAGAGACCGTGAAAGAATGAATGCATAAATCACAAAACGTTGAAGTTTGGCCCGCAAGTTTCCATTTTTGGGATGTTCCACAAGAATTTAAATAAATATAAGAATTCAAATAATGTATTTATATAGGGGTCAATTAGCCTAGTAACCATATTGGGAGAAATAATGAAAGATATAACTATCTTAATTAAGTATTTAAAGTAAGTAACTAAAAGTTTGAAAAACTTCCTATTTTGCCTTTGTTACTTGCACATTCCACTTGTAGCTTGTTACTTCCACATTCCGTAAGTTTAGAAATGGAAGATGTTGATTAATAATTTTTATTTATTTATTATTTTACTTTCTTGTTCCATTTTATTATGTTTGTTGATTTAGTGTTTTTTTATCATTCATTGTTTATAAATCTTACAATTATACTAAAAAGATATCTATCTTTTCGTAATTTGACAAGGTTTGAATTTTTTAAAGAATATTTGCGACTAAAAATTATAGGTAAATTAGAAATATAACTAAAACATGTGCAAATCCCCCTATTGTTTTCTAAAGGAATCCCACCAATTTGCATGATTTTCTAAATATTGTATAATTTGTGGTTATCTAGCAAATTTACATTTTTTTAAACATTTATATTTCTCCAAATAGTGAATAATATTGGGAGTAG